CCAGACTGCCCCCGCCCTCAGGCTGCCTCTGGGCACCCTCCCACCAGCCGCGCAAGAGCAATCTCCCCCATTCCGGCAAACGACTGGCCCTGTCCACTTTCTAATTCATTGCAGTCTGCTCATTGTGCAGGGGTACCTCACTGCTTCCTTCATTGCGTTTCTCCAGTTGCTCATGGGGCTGAGCTGGCCTTCAGAGCTTTTGGCATAGAGACCCGTGCAGTGCTCACGGTGGTCCCCTCTGGCCCGGCAGGCTGGCTGGCCTTCTGTAATACAAGCATCATTTAAATGTGGTTGGTTTAATAATGTCCTGATATGAAATGTGCATTCTAGCGATCATTTCTGATCTTGAATTACAAAACTGTTTGTGTTTACATCCTAGTAAGACTCCTGTCTGCCCACCACATGCTTCTCTCCATTTCCAGTCCCCACCTTGGTTCACCTTGGTCACCTGGCCCCTGCAGTCCCTGCACTGACACTGGACACCCCCTCCCTGCAGCACCAGCTCTTGCCTTCCATCTCAGAGGGATCTTTTCACAATGCTTCCCAGGGCTTTCCATTTCTCTAAGCATAAACCCTCGCTGGAGCCTGCAGGGGCCGCTCCTGCCTCTTCCTGAGCCCGTCCTTGGCCCCCTGGCTGCTCCTCCCGCCTTCAGCCATCTGCTCCTTCTGTGCTGAATGATTTCTCAGCTCCCCTCCCCCCAGCTCCCAAGGCAATGCCTTTTTCATCTTGTGTTCAGCTCAAAAGTTCAGCTCACGTCCCCATCCCGAGGCTGGATCAGTTCTCCGGGGACCGTTCATATCACCCACAGTCAGGTTCCACAGTGATGGGCCCTAAGTCCTCTCCGGACCTCACCGCCCAGGGGCGGGGCTTTCCGTTGTGTTCCCTGGACTCTGCACCTCGCACAGGCTCCCAACAGGGAGACACCCAACACATCCTAGGGCGGATGTTGGACAACAAAGACCTCTTTATGGCAGAATAACTTTACCCACACGGAGCACAATCCTAAAGAAACCGGAGCAGGAGACACTTTGGACAGACAGTGTCCTTGATGAAGGCCCGAAGGCTGAGGCCGAGATGCCATTTATCTCAGGAGATCAGCCAAGCAGCCTCCGGGGAACTTGTGACTCAGAGGAAGGGAGAGAGGAGAGGCCTCAGGGGGAGATAAAAGGGCTGCATCTTGATAAGTGACCATCAAAAATATAAACATCTTATTTTGAACAAAATGTAGAAGCTATAAACATGTCAAATTAAAACAAAGTAAGAAAATCAAATCGGCAGGCTGGCTGGCCTTCTGTAATACAAGCATCATTTAAATGTGGTTGGTTTAATAATGTCCTGATATGAAACGAGCATTCTAGCGATCATTTCTGATCTTGAATTACAAAACTGTTTGTGTTTACATCCTAGTAAGACTCCTGTCTGCCCACCACATGCTTCTCTCCATTTCCAGTCCCCACCTTGGTTCACCGTGGTCACCTGGCCCCTGCAGTCCCTGCACTCACACTGGACATCTCCCTGCAGCACCGGCTCTCGCCTTCCATCTCAGAGGGATCTTTTCACAATGCTTCCCAGGGCTTTCCATTTCTCTAAGCATAAACCCTCGCTGGAGCCTGCAGGGGCCGCTCCTGCCTCTTCCTGAGCCCGTCCTTGGCCCCCTGGCTGCTCCTCCCGCCTTCAGCCATCTGCTCCTTCTGTGCTGAATGATTTCTCAGCTCCCCTCCCCCCAGCTCCCAAGGCAATGCCTTTTTCATCTTGTGTTCAGCTCAAAAGTTCAGCTCACGTCCCCATCCCGAGGCTGGATCAGTTCTCCGGGGACCGTTCATATCACCCACAGTCAGGTTCCACAGTGATGGGCCCTAAGTCCTCTCCGGACCTCACCGCCCAGGGGCGGGGCTTTCCGTTGTGTTCCCTGGACTCTGCACCTCGCACAGGCTCCCACCAGGGAGACACCCAACACATCCTAGGGCGGATGTTGGACAACAAAGACCTCTTTATGGCAGAATAACTTTACCCACACGGAGCACAATCCTAAAGAAACCGGAGCAGGAGACACTTTGGACAGACAGTGTCCTTGATGAAGGCCCGAAGGCTGAGGCCGAGATGCCATTTATCTCAGGAGATCAGCCAAGCAGCCTCCGGGGAACTTGTGACTCAGAGGAAGGGAGAGAGGAGAGGCCTCAGGGGGAGATAAAAGGGCTGCATCTTGATAAGTGACCATCAAAAATATAAACATCTTATTTTGAACAAAATGTAGACGCTTTTAAGAAGCCTGATTAAAACAAAGTAAGGAAATCAAATCGGCAAGGCAAATAGCTCTCAGGCTCCGCCACCCGGTCTCCCCCACACAGGATACGCATCCCTCCTCCCTCGCTTCCCGGTGCTTCCAAAAAGCTGTGCAAAGATAAGCCTTTTACTAAAAATGTTACGTGCCTGGGGCGGGTCCTCACCATGACCTGCCCAGTCAGGAATGTCTGATCAGATCTTGCTTGTCGGCACTGCGAGTCCTCAGGTGGGCGAGCCATTCAATCCTGATGCGACTGTCGCTAGTCCTCAGAGTTCTCCCTGTGCACATCTTCCCTGGGCGATGGCATCAGATTCAGTGGCTCCTCCTGAATCTACTTCTATACACTCAGCTGCCTCCGGGGCGGCTGCGATGTCCCCCTGCACCAAAGATTGCACCTGCCAACTGGGCTTCCTCCTCCTCTTCTCAGGAATGGCCCTGACCCCACTCACCCCACTAGCAGCCTGAGGGGCATCCCTGACTCCTGTGTAGTATCCCCTTCAAGGGGTATTGCTTCTGGCATCTCAAAGGTGTGTTAACCTAGATGCACACCTTAAATGGCTTAAAACCTTTCACTAAAGAAGTGACAGGCCTGGTGCATGACCTGCCCAGTTAGGAATCTATGATCAGATCTCCCTGTGAAGTTACTTCCGTAGAACCCCCTTTTCACCCACAACTCCATTCCCACGCCTTTGCCTGGCCAGCACCTGCTTCTCAGAGAATTAGTTGAGGCCTCACCTGCCCTAGAAAGCCTGCTTGTAGGCTGCCCTCGGCCACACTGATGAGCTAGCTACACCGCGTGTCCACTCAAGAAGCAGGTACTGGTAAGACTGGCCTGGATGTTACATCTCCTGGGTGCCTGCCACAGGAGCAAGCAAACAGCGAATGAGTGAGAAGACAGATGTTTATGAATTTGTAAATTGAGGTAAAAATATTTCAGTTTACACTGGAACTTGTTTTAAGATTGAAAATGATTACTCCTGGGCGCTGGGTGCTCCCCTCCCCCCAGAAACATTGATAGATACACTCATGTGTTTACATGTTCTTTACACAAATACCTGCCACAGGATCCTATCCCTCTATTCTCCAGTTTCCCGGGATCTTTTAAGAAACTATAACAGTAACGGATGCTATCTGGTCTAGTTAAGATAAGATAACCCTGATTGGTTATTATGTTCCTGGGATGAGCCAAAGGAAATGGATGTTTCCAGAATTAACTTAATTGGGATTATGTGAAATAACCTCAGCTCCACGCAGCACAAACTTCTCTCTTCTCTAGAAAATTCTCCTTTTACTGAATGATCATTTCGCACTAAAAAATGATAGAAGCAAAAATAGATGATGGTGTCCGGCCGGCATGGCTCAGTGGTTGAGCATCAACCTATGAACCAGGAGGTCACAGTTTGATTCCTGGTCAGGGCACATGCCCGGCTTGTGGGCTTGATCCCTAGTGTGGGGCATGCAGGAGGCAGCTCTCTGAAAAGAAAAAAGAAAAAGAAAAAAAAAGATGATGGCAAACAATATAAAGGTCTCCTAAACAGTTTAAATTGCTTTAATGGTCTGGGCATATATACTCTGAAAATATGCATTGGGATCAATTCAAAAGTTTAAAGAGGCTCAACATGCATGTCCAAAGTGTAGAAGTATGTCTGCTTGTGGAAGCTGCAAGAGAAGGAGAGGCCCTAACAGCTGAGGTCTGGTCCAATGGCGGTAATTCATCCTGTCCCACCGCCGCCCCACTGGTAGCTCCCTCTGCCACACCTGAGTATGGGTGTGGCTGGCTCCCTCTGTCCCCTGGATCGCAGCTGATGTATCATCTCCTCCCGGGCACCTTCCTCGACCACCTGTTGGTATACACAGACACCGGGAAAAGCCCTGAGACAGAAAACCTACCTCTGTAAGGAAGGCTGGGAAACACTGAAGAAAGGGCAGGCCACTCCAGTCTGCCAGTTAAGTCTGTTAAAGGAAATTTACATTCGAGGCAAGTCTCAGGCCTAAAGAATTATATGGAGCAGGGCAGGATGGGTGGGGTGCCGGTGTCAGAGAACGGAAACTGCTTTTCCTGCTTGCCCGGGGCAGGGACCAGCACGCGGGGGGCACAGGGAGAGGGTCCATCAGACGGTCTCTGAGGGATTTAGGGAGACAATCTCTGTTCTGGCCCTGATCTAGCTCGTTGGTCTGGCAATGGTTGTGCCATGGAACAGCCTCTCCTCCACACCACCTCATCATAGTAAAAGTAGTCACTCTGCCCCCACCACTCCATTTCTTCGGTTATCACCATCTGAAAACCATTATTTATTACTGGGTACACCTGTTCGACCAGGAGCAGAGGAGGGAGAGCGGGTCTGTCTCCCTCAGTGGCAGCCCTGAGCCCAGGCAGGGCGTGGACGGGCACTGAGGTGGGGGACGAAGGTCCTCCCTGCACAGCCCTGCACACACATCTACTCTCCTGCAGCTGCTCTCATACAGCCAACCTCCAGCCTCCATGCAACTGTTCCCCTTTCTCATCCTCCCTCTTGTGAGTGGGTGTCAGCTAGCAGGCAACATGGCATGATCAGACCAAAATACGAGATCTTTTCTCCTAAAAAATACCCATATTATTCAGGTACGACTGTGACAGCAACCATTTCTGTGCCATGTTATCCCAGGAGTGTGAGTTTGGGGTATGCAGATGTTAGCAGAGCTTCCACCGGCTAAGAGTCAGTTTCTATATTTCAGATTAATTCAAAGAAGGAATGTCAAGTTGACCTGGAGTTCACCACAGAGCACTACAACCCAGAGGTAAGCTGCTGTCATTCGTGGAGTCTTTTTGTTGTTGTTGTTAATCCTCACCCGAGGATATTTTTCCATTGCTTATTAGAGT